TTGGGCGGGCTGGTGAATGGAGAGGCAGACAAAGCGTATTGCTTGCAAAAAACTTTACTTACGCCGCTAGTAGTCACGATGCAGGTGGTCCGGTCGCTTAAACAACTACACGAGTTGCTCCAGCTGGCAAGGCTCAGGCCAGCGAATCCATACACGAAACAGGCTGGCAGGAAAAAGGGTACGTCGAAGGATTGCGCTCGGCGACGGGGAGAAGAATCGATAGGTGATCAGGCTATCGATCAGCTCAGCCGCAAGTCAGGAATCTTCAAAGGCACTCTGCAGCGTGCTCAAAGTTCTCCGACTTGGGCGGAAGTCGCACAGAATTTTATACGGCTAGCAAGCCAATCGCTAGCTGCCACGTAGGAATAATTTAGAACTGGCCAATAGTGGGACACAAATTTGCATGCGAATGGCGGCCAAGGCACTAAAATCATTGGGTTGTGACAGGTACATGGACCACAGGCTAAAAACCACTGATTTAAACCAACACTTGTCTGGGAGGATTTAGATAGGCATGATTTTGCTTTGTGCAAAAGGCTACATAGATGACCTTTTGACAGCTTTTCCAGGCTTTGATTTGATTCTACAATATTTGCACTACACTCACTCCCAAGGTGAATTCTTGGCCCTACTGAAGTCAACATGAGATTTGTGATCAACTTCAATGGAGCAATCAGTTCCTCCCCCCAGATTCCCATTCTAACAGCTAGCAATTTCTGTGGAGGAAGGGATGCAATGTCTGGGGAACAGCAGGATGGTCTCTGCTTTCTTCAATTCTGTCACCAGAGGCTCTTCCCTAGGCTAGGACATTGTTCTACACAACAGACCAGTTGAATCCAAGGGGATGTTACCTGAAATCCAAAGCAGATGGTTGGGATGACGCTGAACATGGAAGCCCAGGAAGAAGCCCTGCAAAATTAAGAAAGGAAGACATACTTTTTTCCTGAACTGCTCACCTGGGTAACTCAGTAGGACCAGAAAGAAACACTCAGAACTCAAGCAAAAGATGAATAATACAAGATGGGACTTATCTACACTGCATAAAAAAGGCCCACAAGTCACAGCCCATGGGTTGCGTTAGCATCTTAAATGCTCAAGCTCAAGCTATTAGCCTTCTGGATGTAGTTGCAAAGTCAAGGATATACAAACAGATTCCTGCAGCAGTGATAAATGGCTGCACCAACCCTTACCTTGAAGCATAATGGTTTTCGTGCATAATAATATGCTCTGGTCGCAGATAGTATTTTAATACAATCACCAGGGTCAGATAGCATGCTGCCAAGGTACCAAGGACACTGAAACAAAGAACTGGAGATCAGATTATTGAACTTATTGTGCAAAGTGAAGAGTTGACGAGGCTCCTTGGCATACAGTAAGGTTCAACTGGCGTACATACCAAGAAGATCAGGAAATATATTAGGGATTAGTAACCCTGGCAAACTGACTGCCTAAGGGCACAAGAAAAATATCATGCTTGGTAAATCTGACTAGCAGGCAGCACCCCAAACCTGGACCAGTTTCTGCATAAAGAGAAAGACCTTTGTCGCAGACAGAAAGGCCTTAACTTCCAACAGGGCACTGTGCCCAATTTTCTCTCATTCCATTTTACACTCCACTGATTTTGCTCCCAAATCACATAGGCATAAGGAAAAGCAGTCAAGCCCTAAGCCACATACTTTTCGGAACACTTAATACAATCTCTGTAAAGCTGGGAAGTAATAACAGGCATGACTGCATATGCTGCTGAACTGCAGCCTCCTCTGGGGTGGAACAACTGAGGGACTGCACGACAGCACTACTCGGGAATTTTGGGGAAGCAAAAATGACAGGTTAATAACTCAGTCTGAAACTGTAGGCAGGACCATTGTCCATGCTACAGCTTGGCCAGGACACTGATTTAAGTATTCTTTCAAGATTGTTCTGGGGTTCTGAATGACATTACAGAGCCAATAGAAACCAGTGGCTGAGGCAGCATTGCTTCAAAAATAAATGATACTCCCTGACCATCTGAACATGTTACAATGATGTCTGCTGTCCTTGGTTCACATTGCTCATTTATGAGCAGCTAGGACAGGGTGTTTAGCAAACATCCCCTTGCATTTAGCCCTGCTATCACTTGGTAGATAGAAACTTTCTGATGTGTGGTAAAGACTGACTTGAATTTTTCCAGTGGAGCAAGCCAAATTCCCACAGTCCTAGCCCAATGACAGGTCAAGTCTGTACACATTTGGGACTCTGATCAATACTGTAGGCTGCCAAAACTGTCCAAAAATATTGACCACTCCATCCTGGTTCACTATGCAGATGCAGAAGTGTTTCTGCAGTTAAAGCTGAGGCTATTGCACTTGCAATGAACTGAGGAGTGGCAAAGAGGAGTCTCAAATGACCAGAAGGGTGGACTCATGATGTCAGGTCCAGTCTGAATAAATGCAAAGGCTGCCTGTTCTAGATCTCAGTTCTTCTCACTGCTAGCCAGGAGCAGAGGCTCACTGGAGTACCTTAAGACCAGAGGCAGTGATAGGGGTCCACTAGTGACTTAAAGTGAACTTGAACATGTCCACTTGCTGATTCCTAGCTCGCAGTACAAGCACGGTGCAGTGGCTCTTGGTGCACACCAGCCAACAGCTCCCATTCCCTGCCTTACTTTTTCACATTGGCTGAGGGTCACAAAGCATCAGACACAGCAGCCCAGCTAGTGGCCCAGCACTATTCCCTCAACCATCTTCTGCAGGATTGATTTCTGAGTGCATCTGGTATAGTGTATAACCTTGGGAGGCCAGATGTGTTATTTTCACCCACATCTACCTTGAGTACTTCTGGAAGCCAATCTCTCTAGGAACAGACAGGGGAAAGATGACCAGGACACAAAGAGTAGTCAGGGTGAAGCGATGATCCATGTACCAATGCTGGGGAGGTGGCCCTCCTTCATTCAGCGTCTCATTCAGGTAGGAGTCATATACTGGGAAGAACAATGGAAGAGGTGGTCAAGGACATTCCTTGAGGCACAGCATTTCAGCATCAGTTGCATGCTAATGAGCAGAAGCAAAGATGGCCCCAGTAACAGTGAGAAGAGGTTGTAGATCTCACCAGCACCAAAGAATCCCAGGTCTGGGAAGTATTGACAGAAAAGATGGCCCTGCTCAAGGAAGGCAGTTACCTTCATGTAACCTTTCACCAACTCTACAAGGAACAGGCTACAAACACTTTGCAACCCTTAAATGTTTTCTCTGTATTGCTAGAGTTAATGGTTTAATGGTGTTAAACTCCCAGCCTACAGGCCAAATCCAGCCTGCAGCACCATGTCATCTAGCGCACAGGCTCCCCATAGGTCTCGAGATTTGATGGCAGGCTATGAAATTTCCAGACCTGTGGGGAGCCCCCAGCCCAGCGAGCTGGATTGGGTGTCTGATCTAAGCACAACAGGGCCAGGCACAGGTGGTGCCAGCAGGCCAGGGCCCAGTCCTGGTGTGGGAGCTGGAATGGGATGGCACCAGACTTCTGAGGCCCAATCCTAGCATGCAGGACATCCATCCAGCCTGTAGACCAGCCCTGCACCACTCATCTGAGTTATGGGGCCAAAAGCTTGGGCATAACTGGTCTAATTTCACAAAAGTGGCAAATGATGTTAGGTGCCCCAGAGATGCCTGCAGCTTACCAGTTGTTCAGAGGACAGGCTCTTCAGTTCACTCCAAAGATCTGGCCCCCTTTATAGTGTCCAAAGATCTGGCCACCCAAAAATTCAAAGCCAGTACACCTTTAATGGAAATGACTTCTCTTGCTGCGGAATATTTTACATCAACACAAGAGTATGAGTGGCAAAGGCTGCTGTATGTATAATGGCATGAAACTGGACGAACATGTCTGCTTGAATGGATCTAAGCTTCTGGTCAAGGGAATGAAGGACCTAATTTCCAGAATTCATGCTCTATGCAGAGACAGAGACTTACATTTCTCCAGCTGATCACCCACAACTCTGAGAAAGGCTACGGAGATCATGAAGAGGTTTAATATGAAGCATATTTCACAGAGTTTCCCAATGGCCGATCCACAGATCTCTCTGACAACACCCTGGTATGTTGACTGGGTGCTAATGGAGGAGGCATATCCCAGGATTACTAGACCACTGATTAGGAATATTAATGATCCCTGCAGAGACAGAAGACATAGTAAAGTGCAGTGAGGTATGATCATCTCAGGTCCTTCTAGACACCCAGATCATGTTGTGAAAGTCTTTCCTAAAGAAATCCTGAGAGTGGCAGCTTAGTTATGGAAACATAATGTCTGTAGCATGCATGCACACCCTCATGGAGAAAAAACAGAAAACAGATAGCACCAGCAGCAGGATGACAAATAAACCTCAAAGACGTCACAGCTTCAGAACTAAATTACTGGTATTCACCAGCTATCATTACACCCCTCTTTAAAGATTACAGAGGAAAGGAGTTGGGCCTGGGACTAGTATTTTGTGGTAATCACTAACAAAGGCTGTCAATCTATGGTTTGGACTTTCACTTGAAATCTCTTCAACTCACTTTCATCTCTCTCAGCATTGTCCCCTCCTTTCCCTCTCTTTTGTAGTTGAATGACCATATTCCTTTCTATTTAATACCTCTACTCTCTGCAAGTCCATTCATAACATCTGATGAAGCAGGCTGAAAACTATGAAAGCTCGTTTCTCTCTAAACAAGTTAATCCAGGAGTGTCAAACTCACCCAGCTCCCCCGACCAGATCTGAACCTCAGGGCTCCTTTCTTGTGGGCAGCGGGGAAAGCAGCAGGAGTGGTGAAGCAAACATGTCAGGAAGCCACAGGGGTTAACACAGCTGTTATTCACTCCCCACAGCTGACACTGGTCCCCAGGAGGGCTCTGTACCCCAGATTTTGGCAGCAGTCCCTGCCCTTGTCCCACCCCTGAACTCCTGGCCCTTCTAGGAGCTTCATGGACCAGATTACATGGCTCCATGGGCCAGATCCAGCCCACAGGCCTTACGCTTCACACCCCTGAGTTCATCTAAAAAGTGCCACCCAGACCTGGTTTCTGCCTAGTTTCAGACTAACAATGGCCAACTACTTCTTTGTATTTGTATATAAAAGGCATCTTACTCCACAGATGCTAATACAATTGGCACCTATTTATAGCAGCATGTGGTAAGGGAAATATTTCTGGTGAGATGGCACTCCCTGTTACAACAGTAACAGCCATTTAGAAACAACAGGGCATAAACATGTTGCTACTACTCTGAATCAATCACATATGAAATACATTAGGGATGTTGAAGTGGAAAAAAGAAGACCTAGCAGGGAGACTGCTCCCCCTATATGGATGCAGACAAGGAACTGTGGTTTGGAGAAGGATAACATTAGGCAAAGATCTTCTTTCATCCCTATATATTAGCAGACCCCTTTTTTTGGACTCTTCTAATCATTATTTTGCACTTGTACTACTGTTCTACCAAGCAGGTCTCAGCCTGACCTGTCATCCATCAGTTGAGCAGGCACTGTGTGTTCTTTAAGACTGCGGCAGACTGCGGCTGTCCCCAATAAACTGTCACTGTCCCTCAAACTCTTGGAAGAAGGCATATGGATTTAGCTTGAGCAGGTTTCAGATTTAAAAGCAGCTACCAATTTATCAAGAATCCTTGGAGAATTCTTATTCTGCAACGTAGCTTCACTTTCTGCTTGTGATGTGAACCACCTAGGATTGTTATACTCTCTCCTTTCTAGACTCACATTTCTCCACTGATTAACTACCAGAGGTTTGGCTAGTCAACAATAAGAATTATCACTGCTTCCATCAGAGTACCTGACTGCTGTCACAGTTAAAGGAGCAGGCCATCTGGAACCTAGTCAGCAAAAACAGAGAAAAAGAATCAGAAGTAATTTCAAGTCTGATAGTTACCCAACTCCCCATGACATTTTGAAGGGAGTTACAATCCTTTTTTAGAAATGTTTTATCCCTTTTGCTACCTTTATTCCAACCAGATGAGAAACCAATTGACTGTAAAGGGGAAAGAATAAAACTGATTATATGCTGAAATTACTGCCAAATACGTAAAAGAGAAAGAAAAATATAATTCCAGAAGAGATCAGTCTTGTTCCAACTGAAGTTAATGGCAAAACTCCCATTGCATTCTGTGGCCTGTATTAATCTTGATTAATAACAGAAGTTTTAAAAAGGCACATTTACTTTTGTGATCCAGGAGATGTTAGTGTCTATGAGGATGGATGGTGTAACCTAGAAGCAAATGGGGAAAACTATACTGAGGAAAGGAGTACACCCACCCCAAATGCCTATACTCAAATCACTATTATATAAAACACACAGCAATACAATGGAAGTTATATTCAATAAGTAAGAGCCAAGAATCAAATTAAATGCTTCTGAAGAATTTCTAGGAAGATACAGAAATTCCAAAGTCTGCAGCTCTCCTCCCCCTACTCCTCTCCCCACCATACTAGGCCCACACAGCAGTACCAATTGCACCCCAGGTAAAGGCAGACAGGACAACCTCAGCAGACTAACATATCTGAAAGATTACACCTTGCAAAATAATGGCACTTTGAGAGAAAGGCTTCCTTTAAGGAGAAAGGAAATGAACCCACTTTCTAATACCAACCTGAACTATTCCTTGAGAAGAAATCTCTTAATGCAAATGTTAGCAATAAAATTGAATTAAATTAAAATTAAAGAGCAAATTATAAAAGAAACAGATTTGAAGCTTCCTTTATTTTCAATTATGCTTTCGTATTAAAGCTACTTAAACCCAAAAAAGGCCCCTAATTAATTATCCAATTATATATGGGTAATTATGGTCAGTGTCTCAATTTTGAAGAAGCAAGGGAGTTTTTTCGGTGATACCTATTATTGAATTGTATAATTGGGAGAGATGTTAAACAAGCTTGTGGGTACAAAGTACCTCAACTCATGCATGTAGGTAGCAATTTTCAATACCCTCCCTGCTGTTGTAGGGCTAGAATGCTATTGCAGCTGTGATCATACAGGAAATGTGAGAGAGGCAAGGAGTTTTTGGTAATATGTTGTATTGGACCACCTAAATATAGTTAGGAGAGATGCTAGTCAAGCTTTCAGGACTGGAGGAAGGGTACTTTGGGCCCAAAAGCTTGTCTAACATGTTGCCCAGCTATATGGCTGGTCTAATAAAACATATCACCAAAAACTCTTGCTCCTTGCATATTTCCTGGACCATCACAGCTATAGCAACACTTCAACCCTACTTCAGTATTCAGCTGACTTTCATTTTGGATGAGTTGCCCCAAGTCCCATGGACTTCAGCCTGTGTTGTGAATCTCTTGAAAGATTCTCCTCAGCATCAAGGTGAGGTCCCCGTCCTGGCAACATGCACATTTATGAGACATTCCAGTGTATTTGCATGTCCTGAGTAATACTGCAGTATGTAGTTGTATGTGACTGAGAGAATGGTCACATAGTTTGGCCAAAACAGGCCAATGAAGCCCTAAGGCAGCCTGCTACACATTTTAGGAGACATAATATTAGAAGGAAGGCCAAGACACACCATTAAAATGGCATCTCATTCCCAATTCATGCAAAAGTAACAGATTCTATAAGTAGTTATGCTTAACATGCAAGTCACATAAATCTGTTACACAGAAGAGTCATTCAATTCAGCTACGCTGATGGTGACATTTAAGGTGCCCATATTATATACTGGATATTATTGATCAAATGGGGAGGGGAGGAAACAAAAGGACACACACAAGAAAGCTGCAACACCCTGAGACAGAACTTGCCTGGGCAGTAAGCCTTTTTTATAAGCCAGTTACAGGAAGAGCCCTTTACCCCAGTGACACTTAGGGGATTCTGGCTATGGACCATGTACAAATTCTGGTCAATATTATGAAGTAACCAGTATTACCCTAAACACTGCTGTACCATAAAATGCCTCTATGCCTATCTGTGCAAAATGAAGTTTATTTTCTACCTATGTGGACTTTTTACAATCTTTAATTTTCCGTGAGCCTGAGGAAGGGTACATGTGCCCAGAAACTTTCAGAAAAAGATTTTTTTTTTTTTGTGATTTCTTCGTTGGTCTAATAAAAGGTATTGTCTCTGAACCATGAATTCTAGAGTTTTGCATTTCTCTGTGCCTATCCACCACTGCTGACAAGGGCTGTATCATACTTTTCCTAGGCTAGATACAGTGGAGAGCTGTTAGCAAACCTGCCCTGAAGCAAACAATTGGGGGTTAATGAGGGTGGCTGGCAGTACTTCCTCCAGCTCATCTTTTTTAGTGATGTGGCAAAATGCCGGCATCTGAACAAAGATTGGTACTGATGGGGAGATACTTAAATAGGCTTGTACAGGCTTTTTCTAATTTAGGAGGGGAGAAGAGGAGTCATTGGGTTGGTCAGAAAAGGTAAACGGAGCTGAAAAGATTCTATGGCTGACACACAATCTTGGGTGGAAAGGAACAACCTAAAAAACCACAAAGGACCTACATCTCAGCTCAAATGATGCTCCAAGTTAGCAATAACACTGAGGAATGGAAGAGTTACAGGTAGTTACCGTCTAAATAGATGCATTTTTTTACTGATGTAAAAAGCACTGATGACAGATTCCCATGAACAACCTGTGCTGTTAAGCCTATGCCCCCAGAGGTAAACTATAAGACAGAAGGCTTCAAGGCCTAGGTGACTGAATTGAGGGGAGTCCTACCCCAAGGCACCTGAAGGCAGGAACAGTGCCTGCCTAGCTGTCCAGTCTCCTCAACCTGACAGCCTGTGGAATTTGATGTTCCAATTCTTTCCCAGGTTCCCAATGATTAATGGAGTGATTGACCAGATCTGTGAAAAGAATCCCTGTTTTCATCCATGGTCAGCTCCATCAAGTTAAAAGTCAGGCATGAAACTCTTCGCAGCTCTCGCTGTTCCTCTCTCTCTCTTTTTTTCTCCAGGCATAGCTTTCTGAACCTGAATTTTATTAGTTAAGCTTGAGCTAGGTTTCCTCAAATAGTCAACTGAACCAGAGTAATATCGTAATTGTTTTTGTTTGTTTTTTCTTGCATGGCTATTATTACTAGTACCATCATAAATTTCGTATACTTAGCAATAAATAACTTCTATAGTCAAACTGGTGGTAACTGGGTATATTTTTCCTTCTCTGCTTCC